AAAAACCTGTTGCTGTCGAGTGGATTCGGACTCACAGCAACCCTACAGGACAGAGGAGAACTGCCCCATAGGGTTTCCAAGGAGGGGCTGGTGGATTCGAACTGTCAACCTTTTGGTTAGTAGCCAAGCTCTGAGCCACCAGGCCTCCTCTAAATGAGAAGTACTCTGAAAATCTACTGAAAAGGGTGGGAAAATAAAAAAGGAAACCCACCCCTATCTGAGATCTGCTGAATGAATTAAGCAATGGGAAAATAACAAACAGAATTTTTCTATAAAGCCATGAGACAACCTGAGTAGCTTGTAAAAAAAAAAAAAAAAAAATTCACAGCCTGTATACGCAAATCTCAGATAAAATGCATTCTAATTCCAACTGTGTCTCATCTACCAAAAAATATAAAGTCAAGGGAGGAGTCATCCTTACTGCCAAAAATCTTAGAAATGTTAATGCTCTTCATTGCAAGAATTTCACTTCTAGGCATCTAGTCTAAGACAAAAGACTAAAAATTGCAGACAAAGATAATGCATCACCCGTGTCCACTGCAGCACTATTTATAATAGTGAAAGGAAGGGAAAGGAGAGGGGAGGGGGCAGGGAAACAACTCGAACGACGTTAGAATAATGATGAAGAAATATAATAGTACGTGTAAAAATGGCGCGGCAGGGGTATCTGACTTCCTCTAACTTCACAAGGGGGAAGGAGAATCAAGATCAACAGCCCAAGACTGATTCCTATGAGGCAGAGGTCAGACAAGACTCCTCCCTCTGCCATCTTCATGAATTCTGACACCAACCATCCCTCCCACAGCACTCTCTGCTTCTCTGCTGGGTTCAATAATTCACTGGAATGGCCACAGAGAACTCAGACCATACTCACAGTTATGAAGTTTATTAGGAAAGTAACAGGTTACAATTTTCAGGTTCAGGAATGCTCAGAATACAGTTATTCCATCAGGACAGCCTCTTCTCAGCCGTACCCAAAGGCATACCTCTCTCTGGCCCCTTGGTCCGGCCTTTGCCCTGCACGGGCAAGTGTTACCAAACTCTTTAAGCTCTGCCAATAAGTGCCCAAAGGCACCCCACTCTGTGGGTCGGCAAACCTAGCTCCACCAAATGCTGGGAGGCACCCTACTCTGCCAGCAAGCCTCCTGCCAGAAGGCACTCAGCTTTCTTGCTCCATGGGCCAGGAAGCCCATCGTACCATCTCCCGTCACTGTTTTTCTGCCGCTGCTTCTCGCTGTCTTTGGTATTACAGCTCTCTGTCTGTCTCCTGGTTCTAGGAGCTTCTCAGTGCAGGGATCCTGGGTCCAAAGGATGTGCTCCACTCCTGGGTCTTCTTTCTTGGTGGTGGTGAGAAACTCTCTTCCCACCTCTGGGATGGCCATTTTAA